ATGTGTTCAACAATCCGGCTGCGATTCCGGTTGCTCCGCAGACCAAGAAGTTCAACCTATGGCTCTCCTTCGTCCCCGACCCTCGTTCCGTCTGGCGTGCTTCAACGTTCGGACACTCATGCAGATTGGACAGCAAGCCGGTCCAGCGCGCATCCTAGATTCCCTAGACATTGATGTCTGCTGCCTTTCAGAAACCCGATTGCAAGATCCCAGCACTGTGCTTACATTGACATCCCCCACTGACCTCGAAGCCAGATATCACCTGCGTCTTTCTGGAGATCCGGGAGCAGCCTCAGCGAGTCTGGCTGGTGTAGGTATAGCACTAAGTGACAAGGCCGAGGCGACACTACTGGACTGGTTCCCTATTCACAGCCGACTATGTGCAGTTCGGCTTCGGGGTTCATGTAGAATCAACAGGCACCGCGAAGAGAGACAACTTGTTTGTGATCTCCGTGTACGCCCCAACTGACTGCAGTGGCGACTCGGTCAAGGACGAATTCTACCGGGATTTACAACAGCTCTTGACTAATGTTAAAAAGTCGGATGTTGTTATCCTTGCTGGGGATTTTAATGCACGGGTTGGCCGCCTGTTACCATACGAACGCCACCTTGGTGGGCATCACTCGCTCGATGAGAACCGCTCTGATAACTAAGAGACTTCTCACATTGTGCGAAGACAACCGTCTGTTTCTTTCGAGCACTAACTTCAGGCGTACGAAGAAACGTTCCGCAACGTGGCGTCCCCCTTCTTCAACACAACCGTGGTCTCAAATTGATCACATTGCAATTAGCTTCAGATGGCGCGGCAGCGTACTGGACTGCAGGTCCTTTAGGTCCACCTTCGTCGACTCAGACCATGCTCTGGTCTGCGCGAAAATCTGTAGGTGTTTTGGAGGATTCCGAAACACGAAGCACCGCAAGATTGATGTAAACAGATTAACTGATCCCTCTGTCCAGGCGAGCTATCAGTCTTCATTGGCATATGCACTCAGTTGCAATCCACCACAAGAAGTGGAACAACACTGGACTTGTATACGGAAGGCAATGACCATTTCCGGACAGTCATGCTGCGGCCTTACGCGACGCCCCTTGAAGGCTTGGATCTCTGCTCGTTCTCTGGAGCTGTTCGAACGCCGCAAAGATATCCCAGTGGAATCAGATTGCAACCAGCGGCGCCGTTCTGCCAACCGGTTGCTCAAGCAAAGCCTACGCAAGGATCGCGAGACATGGTGGTCTGAGCGTGCTTTAGAGATGGAGACTGCTGCCCTCTCTGGCAACACTCGCAGGCTTTTCCAACTCATTCGGTCCACTGGTCTCAGGAAGCCTGGTGTCAGTGAGGTCATTTGTGAGGTGGATGAGTCTCCGATCACCAACCAACAGAGGCGTATGGACCGTTGGGCCGAGCACTTTCCCTCGCAGTTCAACTGGCCTCCACCATCCATCAGTACATCTTGCTGTCCACCCTGGCTCGTCTCTCTGAATCCACCCATCGAAGCGGAAGTCTGCCTCGAGATTGGACGCTTGAAGCGCTTCAAGGCTGCCGGCTTAGATGGACTCCCTCCGCAGCTATTCAAGTACGGCGGTGTGGCGATCATTAACCAGCTGACCGCGCTGTTCGCGGCGAATCAGTTATTGTCCCGATTTTCAAGAAAGGCGCTCGCACTTCATGTGCAAATCATCGCGGGACTAGTCTTATTTCGGTTGCCTCTAAACTATTGGCATCCATTCTGCTTCGCAGGCTATCCCCAGTACGTGAATCATACTACCGTGAAGAACAAGCTGGTTTCCGTCCTGGCCGCGGATGCGTGGATCAAATCTTCACGCTCCGCCAGCTCCTCGAACATCGCCACATTTATCGAAGATCCACTATCGTTGCATTGCTAGACATACGTGTCGTTTTTGACTCCGTTGATCGACCGGCTTTATGGCGTTGCTTACTAAAGAACGGAGTGCCAGAGAAATATACCGCCATCTTACGAGCACTTTACCTTCATACATCCGGCAGAGTGAGGGTCTATGGCAAGCTTTCCTCGCAATTCGCTGTCAATAGCGGTGTGCGACAGGGCTGCCCTATGTCCCCATTCCTCTTCAACTTCGCAATCGAAGACGTTCTGTCGAATGCCCTAGAAGGTTTCCAACATTTTGGCTTAGAGCTCCTACCGGGTGAGCGTGCGACCGACTTAGATTATGCTGATGATATCGTCTTACTTAGTGACGATCCTCAGAGTATGCAACTCATTCTGGATCGTTTGGCGGTTGAAGCATCTAAGTATGGCATGAGCTTTGCCCCATCGAAGTGTAAAGTACTGCTCAAGGATTGGCTATCACCTGCTCCCGTACTCACTGTCGAAGGTGCACAACTTGAACAAGTAGATAGTTTCGTCTACCATGGGAGCTGTGTTTCTGCTGACGGCACTATCAGCAAAGAAGTTTCTCTTCGTATCGCTAAAGCTCGATCAGCATTTGTCAATCTGAGGCATTTGTGGCGTCGTCGCGACGTCTCATTCTCACTAAATGGCCGCGTTTACAGCGCATCAGTTCGCTCAGTATTGTTGTATGGATGCGAGTCTTGGCCGATTCGCGTGGAAGACATGCGTCGTCTTTCTGCCTTCGATAACGGTTGCTTAAGGAGGATCGCTCGTGTTTGGTGGCAACATCGAGTTAATAGTAATCACGTTCGACGTCGCATCTTGGGGAATACGAGTATTCCCTTCAACAAACTGGTTTTGTTGCGCCAGTTAAGATGGCTCGGTCACGTCCTACGCATGGCACCTGAGCGTCTACCGCGTCGCGCTCTATTCGGTCGTCAAGGACCTGGCTGGAGGCGACCGCGTGGTGGTCAGCCTTCCACTTGGCGGCAGCACATAAAATCGCTGACGTCGTGTCTAGCCGCTGTTGGATCCGTACGTCTTCCAGGATGGGGACCCAAAGATGATGAGTGCCAATGGCTTAGCACTCTTGAAGATATGGCCCGCAACCGGAATCAATGGAAGAATTGTGTACAGTGTTGTATTGATTCACATGATTAATACTATAAAGATGAAAATGACAAAAAAGAGCAAAAGCGGCGTGTGAAAAAAAACTAAAAATGTTTTGTTCTACTTTTTATCATAATGTTCCATTCCTCCTTGCGGCATATTAGTTAAAGTGTGTTGCTCACCTTCAACTAGCATGCCACGATGGTTAAAAACAAGACGAATCTTACTTATCTGCTGATCATGGTTTTTTGCTGGCTCTATGTCTAGTTAATAGAGTGTTGAGATTACATACATTACATACATACAGGTAGTGAAAGCTGGTGAAAAACGTGAAGGCAATGCAAACGACAACAGACTCAGTAATACTTCAGCATGCAGAGTTCGAGCCAAAAAGCAGTCACAAGTGGCCACACCGGCCTCTTCTCACTCTATTCTTCATTACAAAAGAGTAGTAGGGGAAGTTGAATGGTATAAGTAGAATTTCGTCACATCTAGACTCACTCAGACAGCCGCCACACGCCCGGAAAAGCACTGTACGCGCGTTTCATCCTTTCGGGAATCATCAGCAGTGCGCATTCCATCGGACCCTTGGTAGGGCTCGAACCCGCAACTCGACTGTTGCCAGTCCGTGGTTGAAACCACTGAGCTACGGGGGACGGCAACGACCATCGTGAATAAGTTACTAGATGTGATATAGCGCCGCTCACTATCCACTGACTTACACGTTACTTCCGTGCAGAGGACAGGGTAGCCCCCTCACCTAGCGACGAGCTTACCAAACTTAAGCCGCCAATTATCTTATGGCATTATAAGCAGTTTGGTCTGCGTACTGATTACAGAAGAGTAGTAGGGGGAGTTGAATGGTATAGGTAGAATTTCGTCACATCTAGACTCACTCAGACAGCCGCCACACGCCCGGAAAAGCACTGTACGCGCGTTTCATCCTTTCGGGAATCATCAGCAGTGCGCATTCCATCGGACCCTTGGTAGGGCTCGAACCCGCAACTCTTCATTAAACCCACAGTTGGCTATATCGATACTTTTAGTTAGCGGACGATAGACTGCATGTATTGAAAACACACACACACACCACCATTTGTGTATGCGTATAGCACGAAAAACATCTATGAGGTTAAATATCCATAAAAGTGTTATACACGAGATAAGTTATCGACTAGAAGCCTCGAGATCCAATTACGTACAAATTGTTGAGACGTCCACCCACGAATTGTAACGCTGTCTTCTGACCTCATTCCTTTCATGAGGCCAAAGCGACTGGTTTTAGGAAATATTTCGCTATGCAGGATCCAGAAATGCACCTTAACGTTGCGCATACACTTGTACAGGTTGGGCTGAGTAATATCAAACTGCTTGGCGATGCAAAGATACTGTACATCCTGAAAGCTCACTGAGCATCAGCACAAAACTTATGTACGCTCATCTATGGTGATGACGAGGTTAAGATGAGAACTCTCGTGAAAGATATATCGTTCAGTCGATAAGATAAATCAGCGAAAAAGTGCACAGGGTGATGACTTCCGATAACGCAGAGTGGAAGAGGTTGAGGTAAATCATAAGCGCTATGTAGTGGATCAACCAAGTGGAATAATGTGAAAGGTTATGAGGGGAAGATCAGACCAAGACACACCACATCCATAAACAGAAGTACAAACAACTAGTTACTGAATGAGAATACGGAGACATCAGCGACACTGAGGGCGTGAGAATTTCCTACTCTTGCATGGTAAACAATATTGCTCCTCAGAGACAACTGAGAATCTTACGCACTTCAAACTAATCTGATTAAGAGAAGACACCTAATCAGTGCGAGCCGCGGGTGCATCGTAGTGAATTAGGTGTATAAATTGCTGAAGTACCACCGACGATCCACAGGTTGAGTACAAGGAGAAGCAAACAAACGAACAATCTACTAGAGGGATCAGCAAGCACATATTAGAGACATCAACATCAGTGTAGCACGTCTAGTACCCCACTTCAACTGGTTATTGCTTCGATACCTCTGAATAGAAAACATCTCATAACAAGAATAATGTTTACAATCGAGATAGATGGCACGTTAAACTTGGATAAGGCATGTGAAAACAAAACGGAAGAACGCTCGGTTCAAGACCGGGTAAAATGACACTCAAAGATGCGCGTCTGGCAAACTGGATAGACCGGAGGTTCTCTAATACGCAAGACCTACTTGGCACAGCCGAAAATCGACTGTGTGGTAAAGTGGGCGACTAAAGCAAACTCACAACCGGGGCAAAAACACAGGCGTGGTTCAACAGAAGCGTTGTATGGGATGTAGCGGGAAAGGTGAAAATAGAAAACGTAGCCAGGCAACGAGATCCTACAATGAATCGTCAGCGCGATGAGGGAATGTGGCATCGAATAGGGATCAAGTAAATGGCCATGGATAAAAGCGTCATGGCTGAACATTTTCGTCTAGTCGCAATCGAAGGCGCTCAGCATACTGTGATGGTGGGCGCCGTCTGGGGCCTAGACCACGAAAAGGCAATGAGCCACGACGATTCTGCGCGGTAAAACCACTGTCGCCGTTCTAAAGCGGGGGGAGAAACTCCAGAACGGCTTTTCTCGTCAAAACTTTGGGGCAACGAGGCGACAGACCCATAGGAATTCTAAGAAAGCCTAGGCTTAATAAAAGGAGCTTCACGTTGTGTGGGACCGCCACGACCAGATGTCGAGTTGTATTGCTTATTTTCATCCACCGGGGCTTCGGATTTGGGAGGGCTGTGGGAAATGTTGTTCGGAGATTGGCCAAGCACGGGAATCTCGCGTACCGTGTGTTTTACGGATAGCTTAGGCATAGCTAAAGAGCCGGTGGTCTGTAGAAGTGTTTCAAAGGAGGAAATCAAACAGCCAAGTTTCGTGGCCGATACGTCGGGTTTTGTCTGACACAAGCGAGGAAGCCAAAACGTGGACATCGCCCGTTGTCTGGTTGCTGGAGGTTTGGAGTCCAAGTCAACGGCCAACCAGTGAACAATTCGGCCAGATGGAAAGATGTTCCAAGGGGGTAGGAAATGAAACAACTGCGATTCGTGAGTGTGTGGTAAGATACTTTCGAGTAAATTTACCAACGAGTTGAATGAGTAGTACACTCGTTGGACAACCGCAAATATTTCCGCATGGGTTTCAGTCTTACAGTCTAAGTTTTCATGGTCGGCAGCAATCCCGTCGGCCACTTTGGTGAAATGTTCACTTAGTGAATCATCCACGCTGTCTGGCTCATCCGCTGCGATGACGGCGCAACCGAGTAATGCGAGTATCACGGAACACTGTTCCAAGGGAACCAATCCGAAATAATCCGGGACATTGCTTTGGCAGTAGGAGAGCACAGTTGCCAACCCTAGCATCCAACCGGGCTGCGTAGGAGTGGTGGGGAGAGTGGTGGAAAATAAGGTTCCGAGCACTCGATCGGTTTGTTCGCGTGTCATATTGATCACAATGGGGCTGATGGGGATCGTGTAGGCGAATACTTTACCGTCTCGAATAAAGTACTCCGTAGCATGCGGACTAAGCCCAACCAATTTGATACAACCACCCAACTGACGTTCCAAACCAAGCATGATTCGATAGTGCATGACGCGGAGTGGCAAACAGACAACCGTAGACATGTCGTTAGGTTTCCCTGTCATACAGAAACCGGAACTGTACAAAGCTCGCATGAACGACGATACAATTTTCCCACCTCGATACGCATTAACCAGCCGATCAGGCCATCCGACAGTGAAATCACTAGGATACGCTCTGTTGTCGCGTAAGCCACGCAAAAGCTTGAATATATCCTCTTGAACAAACGGCGCCTGACTGCGTTGAGCATCATAGAAGGAGGTTATTTTGAGCGCAGCAGTCAGGTCATCCGTGCTTTCAGATGGGGACAAATTGGGGATTTGGAGCTGCCTTGTCAATCCTTTGCTATCCATCATTGGATGGTAAATGTAATATGCTAAACAGTCAGTTAACTGATGAATGAAATTGGGACGATGCGGTTCGGGATATGCGTCGATCACCTGATCGACGGGAGCGTCAGTGTTGGTTCTGTGCTGTGATAACCACTGTACTAATACAGAGAAACGTCGTTCTTTCGGATGTGAGGATTCATTGGATTTCCACGCTGCCTGCACTTCTGGTGGCAGTCTGGATTTAAGCATGGTATCAGTCCCTAGAAGCAGAGCGAGCAGCGGACGGTGCTTGGGATGGACTGCAGCTAGTTCCGAATTAAGCGGCAGAAATTCATGAGCTGGAAGCATGCAGGGTTGTTGCGAAATCGGTTGAAAACTCAAGTAACGAAGGGGCACAAGACGAAAAGATTGAGCGTCGGCCACGTCGCAAAGTTCGGTGGCGGAGACAAGCGCGAAGTAATCTGATGAGCTAGCGAGGAGGGGACAGTTCAAGCGAATGGCTAAACTCGCTGTGCACCGTAAGGAGGAGTGAGGCACGAAGGTAAACTGGGCATGCAGCTTGCGTAACGATTCCACAATGGTTGTCCTCGCCCCAACGGCCAATTCAGTGTGCTGAAACGGTGGAGTTGAGTACGGAGGGTATTTAGGGTTTCGGATTGCATTCAAAGTCTTCAAAAATTTGCCCTTCACTTGCTCACTCTAAACGAGGGAGCAGGGTGAGAAAGAAAGGTAGAAAAAATGGGAGCAATTGAATGAGTATACGTAATGTACACGAGCATAGAAAGGAACCTAGCGACGGTAAAGAAGACAAAGCAAAAGAGTTACCAGAATATAATTGGAAAGAAGACATACCAACTAGTTAGTCTCAATAGAACACAGTTAGCCCAGCCAACTAAGAACCGAGAAATAAAATACCGGGGATTTAGTTGCGCTGCTGGATAGCATCGCTAGGAAAACATGTCATCATCATCACCAACACAACCACCACCATCATCATCATCAACATCAACATCATCGTCATCAACAGCATCCACATCATCGCCATCAACAACATGAACATTATCATCATCATCAGCAGCAGCATCAGCATCATCTTCATGAACAGCAGTACATCAACTATTGATTGATGAATCGCTACCGTACGACCACGCTGAGTTGCAGGACGAAGAACAACAAGAGGCGGAAATGTGACTTACATAAACCTTAATGCCTTACATCTACTCTCGAGTTAAAGGCGCCTACACCTTCTCAGCAACATACAATCGCAGTCAGTTGGCTATAGTGCGAAAATATTGATTATTAACGATCACAAAATGCGGCGAACTGGAGTCTAGTACAGATTAGGGCCTGAGTTGAATTACACTAATGCAGATCATTCTGGTTATAGCTCGATCGATCATGTGTGTTGACCTCAGGTCAACACTAGTCTTTTGCTCCATGCCTTTTTTGTCTGTTTCAGTTTGACAGTTGAACACCATCTGGGTTCGGTCCTGGTTTCAGTCTGTTGCGGCATTCGCGGGATATGATTGATTGACCACAGTTCGCGAGTTTCGCTGGTCTGTGCTCGAGAAACCACACTTACCTAGCAGTAACTCCAAATTTCCACTTCAGCTTCATGCTGACTCTAGGGATTGTTAGTGGATAAAACCACAGATTTCACGATCGTCCAACTTCATCAGTCATCTCAGCTTTGAAATTCGCATATTTACATTGCATATGCCTGTTCATGGATGGGCGGCAGACGAGCACACGCAGTAATTCGTTACAATGCTCACTACAGTGCCCTTTCTCTATCACCGTTTCTGCCTCCTCATGTCTTCTGTGATTCAGCTTACTGCTAGACAGGCAAGTCAGCTGGAACCAAGCTTCATCGAGCCGGATGGATGCTTTTCCGGTATTTTACACTATCGACTGTAAATGAATTAAAATAGTACCTTAAAAATGCAAGATTTTACAAATCGGATGACAAATGGGAATAGTGTGCATATCTGTCACTCGAGTGAGCAGTCCTGCATTTTGGAGCAACGATAGAATACTGCTGGAGGAGATATCAGGAATGGTTGGAGATGAAGTCTCACAACAGATTGCAAAGTCCCACCTTGCATTCATCAAACTGAGACACCTATGGCATCGTCGAGATGTCAGTCTCAACCTCAAGGGCAGGGTGTACAATGCTTCCATCCGTGCAGTACTCCTGTACGGTTGTGAAACTTGATCTATTCGCTCGGAAGACATGAAGCGGCGCTGTCAGTCTTCGACAATCGCTATCTACGAAGGATTGCTAGGGTGTGGTGGCAACACCACGTAAGCAACGCAGAGGTGCGAGACCGAGTGCTTGGAGCGAGTAGTGCCAGTCATCAAGACGTTATTCTCCGCCATCGCATGCGTTGGCTCGGGCACGTTCTGCGCATGCTAGCCCATCGCCTTCCACGTCGAGCGTTATTTCCGCTCCCCGGAAACGATTGGAAAAAGTGCCGCGGTGGACAGCGAATGACGTGGAGAAGGAGCATGAAGAAGGCAACTTCAAGTTTGGCGGCAGTCGGACCAGTCCGTCTTCTAGGTTGGGGACCACGAGATGCTCAGTCTCAGTGGTTGTCAACATTGGACGTCATGTCCCGCAACAGACATGTCCCGCATCAGACATTATCTATCTATCTATCTATCTATCTATCTATCTATCTATCTATCTATCTATCTATCTATCTATCTATCTATCTATCTATCTATCTATCTATCTATCTATCTATCTATCTATCTATCTATCTATCTATCTATCTATCTATCTATCTATCTATCTATCTATCTATCTATCTATCTATCTATCTATCTATCTATCTATCTATCTATCTATCTATCTATCTATCTATCTATCTATCTATCTATCTATCTATCTATCTATCTATCTATCTATCTATCTATCTATCTATCTATCTATCTATCTATCTATCTATCTATCTATCTATCTATCTATCTATCTATCTATCTATCTATCTATCTATCTATCTATCTATCTATCTATCTATCTATCTATCTATCTATCTATCTATCTATCTATCTATCTATCTATCTATCTATCTATCTATCTATCTATCTATCTATCTATCTATCTATCTATCTATCTATCTATCTATCTATCTATCTATCTATCTATCTATCTATCTATCTATCTATCTATCTATCTATCTATCTATCTATCTATCTATCTATCTATCTATCTATCTATCTATCTATCTATCTATCTATCTATCTATCTATCTATCTATCTATCTATCTATCTATCTATCTATCTATCTATCTATCTATCTATCTATCTATCTATCTATCTATCTATCTATCTATCTATCTATCTATCTATCTATCTATCTATCTATCTATCTATCTATCTATCTATCTATCTATCTATCTATCTATCTATCTATCTATCTATCTATCTATCTATCTATCTATCTATCTATCTATCTATCTATCTATCTATCTATCTATCTATCTATCTATCTATCTATCTATCTATCTATCTATCTATCTATCTATCTATCTATATATATATATATATATATATATATATATATATATATATATATATATATATATATATATATATATATATATATATATATATACCCCATGCTGAGGCTGATGTTGCATTATTGATGCTTCTTCACCGCAGTTGGGCTAAACCAACTTACATTTAAACTAGGTCCTTTTAAGCTGGCTAAACTTTACTCCACTTTATTTGGTTTGTTCTGCCTCCCTGAATAATGTTCTATTAACTGGCCACGTTGCTTACACTAATTGCGCTTATCTTCGGTAATTTTGTTGCGTTTGTAGCATTTTAAGTAACTTGTGGACATTTCTTACTTATCACGGATTTGTTGCTAACCAAGTTACTTCACATGCTAATTTAGCGAAGAGTTATGCCACCGTATCTGTATGTATTATTGGATTTGTTTTATTTCGTCTTGTCGTTTTAGGTGATTGGCTGTTGCTTGATTTCCCCGGTGTGGCTGCGCTTGATTTGCATGTTGACAAGGTACCTGCCTGGCTATTACCCACTACCTCGTCCATACTGGCTCCAGGAGACATTTGGTCGTTGCTGAAGGGGACGGGGTGCACGGTCCTTGTGGCCGTGCTAGGCTCGAAGAGTGGTTCCATGCACTCAGTGTGGAGTGGACTACGGTCCAGCCACCGCCTTGTGTGCGCTTGATTCCCCACATACAGCGTACTTGCGTTTGCCTGTGAAGGAGTGTGGGCCGGCTCCGTGCGCAGCATATCGATGCATGTTTTCAAACTCAACGGTGTAACAATAGCTCAGTGACGATGGGAACAGTTCGACCAACCGATTCGTCAAAATATTCCTAACACTTAATTTACCCATAGTGGCTGGCGCAAAGGCGATACTTCAACAGAAACGGCAACATCTAAGTCAAATGCGCCGCTCTAGGTCAAGGTCTCAGCATTCACTCACTACAGATCGTCATCTGATGACATCGCTTGCAGTCTTGAGCTCGCTTGTATTCATCGCAGTCAGTTGCCGCCAAAGCTGTGTGCTTTGAGGCATCAAGCAAACTTGACTTCCGTGTCACAGTTCCCGATGAATGACACACGAGCCCACCATTTAGACCTGACCGTACGCTAGAAACGACGTGGCGAATAAAAAATATTCTCAAATCGCGTAACGTCTTACCATCACTCATTACGAGGGGCGGACTCATAAGTTTACGTTCCGAAGGCCAGCGTTATTGATGAAGTAGCGATGCGCGTGGTCAACTACTTTCCCTCATTAGTCTACACCTCCCACACATAGACAAACCGGCGTTCTCCCTGTTTATTTGTTGTAGGTAATATGGGCGCCTTCCCCTAGCCTAAAGGTAACGAACTTGTCTTGTAATCTGACGGCACGGGTTCGAAGTTGCGTAGGGGCAGGGCGGCCCTCGCAGAATCCTTAGCCCACGTGTGACTGGTGGTGGTTGTGCGGCAGCGTATCGTCAGTACTGTGTGCAGGCGTACTGCTGATGCCTTCCTTTGCCTTTTACTATGCGTAATGATGCGTACTGTTTTTTCCCCATCACTATCAAAACCCTCACATGCATCCACTGGAGCGTGCCATGCGATTACTATTGATGACAAAATAAAGCGGATGGCAAATCAAACATCTGTTCTTGCTCAATACGATGGGGCAGATTTCAAACCGCACAACTGGGCATTAAACCGAAAACTGTACCGTCTAGAGACGCCGAATGGCGATTTAGCTAGCTTTGTTGAATGCGTCAGTGCGCAACCCAAATTTCTACCGCACACCTACACACGTGAGGATGCACATTGTGTAAATACTGGTCTGCACTCCTCATGCGTACAGTCGCTCGTTAAAACAAACAAATAAAACCTACCCATCACTATAATCCCTTCCACCCTAACTCGAAGCGCCACTTTGCCCGCCGTTGCGCAACGCAAGGGGACATTTTCCGTGTGTCACTACAGTCAAGTTCCGGTCATGAGCAACAATGGCTTACTAGTCTTGAGGCACCAACATCACCTGTTGTGTGTTCCATTTGTGTCACTGCAACTCGCCTCAAATAGCGCAGCTTCTGAGCAACGAGATTTGATCTGCAACCCCTTGTTCGTCGCAACATGACTGGACCTTGACATAATGGGACGGTGTACATGTCTCTTCGACCCATTGGGCCACAGTGTGG